GCCGTCCGGCGGGCGCTTTTTGAACTTCCCCTTGCAGCCAGAGGTCAGTCCCGCCTTCCCATGGAAACGGGCTGCCGCTGGTTAGGAGATCCCGGGCACAACGGGACCGACGCCAAAGCCTGCGGCGACGCAGAATTCCCCGTCCCCAGCGACCGCTCTCCAGCCGGCGACAGCGCCCTCCGACTGCCCTGGGTCTCACACCCTAAAAGCTGAAAACTTGTATCAGGTGCAGCATTAATACTTCAGACACAGTGTCACGGGTCTCACCTTCAACATCTCGTTCTCAGGAACTCCCAAACGTTTGCGTTGGTGCAGCCCTCACACCTGGCATGTCTGGGGGAGGCCGGAGAGTTAAAAGCTTCAAACGCCGCTTGACAAAAGAACAATGACATTTAATACAGCCGGATGCTACAGGTGCACGTCTCTTTCTACTAATTGTATAACGCAGTAAGGGTTGCCCTCTTAAATGACCAGAGAAACTCCTCGTTATCAGGTTTCCTGCACTCCTCGCTCCCAGAAGGCAGCAGTGAAAATAAAGAGCTTAGTGACGCTCCCTTAGACATACTGATCATTCATGCATAAATCAAATTCCAAAGGTAAATAAACGTTCATAAACGAATCTGTTCCCAAGGAAATCTCTTCCTCCTTAACTTCTGACAGAAGATAGATACAAATCAGGGTGTTAATTGCACCATAGGCGATTGTTACAATGCATCAAGAAAGTAATGAAAGCTAAGATTAAATATACATGAAGGACAAACTATGTACAACCTGACACTGAGGCATCAGCAGCTTCTGTTCACCTACAATCTATGGCAACACATCCTCGGGGATGTGAAAGCTAAATACTAGGAGTAAAACACACATAATTCAAGAGCAGAAAACCTGAAATTCTTTACAGAATAGTGTAAGAAACCAAATGCCCAGACTTGAGATAGGTATTTCACCTTGGAATGTGTTTCTCTTTTGGTGTAATTTGAACTCTGGATGAGGGAGTCTCACGCTCATCTTTTATGGAAACATACAAACACAGGGCTGCAAAAAACCTGCAGAAACACCGTCTCAGCCCAAGAATTCCTCATCATCCCTAAACATGATTTTCCACTTATTCTTTAAAGTCTTTGGAAGGCAAAGCATACACAAACCTCCCAAGGGGCATGGTCCAGTTCTCACTTGCCCATTTCATTATTTTTTTACTATTATCAATTATTACTTCAAAGTACATTTTTTTCTCATCTATCCTTCGGAGACTAGGCAGAAAAAGTGACCTTTATAATAATAGTTTTTAATATGTTTTTGTGAATTGACTATGGTAGACAGCTAAAATCCACACCGCACCTTGTTCATTGCCCTCCCAGTGGGAAATGTTTTCTTGGTCATTTTTTTCTCTCCCAGAAATAAGCTAATTGTTTCAGATAAAACCTATTTATTTCATCATTCCCTTGGAATTCATAGGTTCTGTTCTTGTTTGTTGGTATTGTTGCCAAATTTTGACATGCAAAACTGGACATAAAACACTTCCAATGGTCTTAGAAGCCACAGAGCAGAAAAGGAAGTTTTCTACTCATGGTTTCAACAGAATTTTTTTAAATTTTCCACTGCTTAAACACTCCCAAGATAATTAATTTTTTCCATATGCTTTAGTGGAATTTCCTGTGTTTCAGTTTATGTCCAACCTGTCAAGCTGGTTAAGCACAACTTCCCCTTCTTAAATCCATTCTGAAACATGACAAAGAAACAAATTTTTCAGGTTTTCAGAACTGATAGTCATGCCATTAGATAACCCTTTCTCAGCAACGAAATCAGTGCTTACATTTGGTGTATAGAGGGTTATTTAGGTATGTCCAAACATACCTCAGAAAGCCTCAGTCTGCATCACACCTGAGTCACTACAGTCACCTTGGCCCCTCAATTCTCTTGCATCACTTTTGACTTCAATCACATCAGGTATTTATTTGACACTAATTTGACACTACTCTCCTCAGTCACTCACCCAAGCCTGCCTGTCACTCCATCCACTCCTCTCAGCTCATGTTATCAGACACTCCACTCCTGACAACTCCCAGGCTAGTCAGCTCCTTTAGGTGGACCTGCTGGACAGTCACCTACTGCTCCCAGCATCTCACTCAGCTCCGCTAATGGCAAAGTTTATGACGGAAGAGTTGTCCAGTGATTTGTACAAAAACTTCTTTTGAATTTCAGATTGTTAAAAACCAGTGATACTTATAAAAACAGAAAGCCATTTCACTGAAATAGTTAAAAATACAAGTTTCCATAACTGAAGTTTAATGTACATTTTCACAGGTAATAGCTTATATGATAGTTTAAGCATAAAAGTTTTTCTGTTTGCAACTTAAGTTACAGCAAAAACAACATTCCAGATGTTGCTTGACTAATTCAGTGTGGAATGAAGAGATTATTCATATATCATGCTCTTATTTGTGTGTCTAAATAAATTCAGGAGAACACTTTTGGGAATATTTCCAGAGTTTGGTGTTCTTATTCCAAAAGTGGTCACAAGACACCTTGGGAGAGAAGAGAGCAAGCTTACGCGATATTTTTGCACAATATTTTCCCAGGCTCTGCCCATCTTTATTTAGGTAGTTTTTAGAGACGATTGTCATGGTGCCACCCTGACACATCAGCCTGGGCACCAGGGGCCCTGTGGGTGGGTGGGGTGCGTGGGTGACAGCAGTTCCTGGCAGTCAGACCCCATCCTGCTGCTTCAGTCAGTCAGGAGCTTGGCAGCCAAGAAACACTGAGGTAGCCCCAGTCCTGGCACTGGGCACCACTCTGGGGACAGGGATAGGCTGACACCAGGTTTTGTCTGCTTAGGAAATCACAGTGGAAGCTCTACCAAATCCTTCTCTAGCCTCCCACTAACCCCATGCAAAGCTGTTGAATCCACAGCATTGTTCAGCAAAGGGATCAACAGGTTTTCTGCCTGTTGCATGAAGAGTATATTTCAACTATTTGTTTTGAACCTGGTTCCCACTATCATTCCCTATTTGCATTTGAAAAACATGGTGAGCATTCTATCTCTATTAATTTTCTCCATGCCACTCATACTTTTATAGTCTTCTGATGTATTTTCCCTGCAGAAACACCCCCTCTCCAGCAGATTCCTCCTTATGGAAGCCATTCCTTTCGTCACCCTGCTGCCCTTCTCTTCCTTTTTCGTTCTTACACATCTTTTTTGAGATGGAAGAACTGTTACTGCACAGGATATTCAAGGTGTAGGTAAACAATTTATACAGTGGTGTTATTACATTTTCCATTTTGCTCTCTATTTCCTTCCTGAAAATTTGTAGTGCATTCTTTGTTTTGCTTACTGCTACTGATTACTAGGTGGAGGTTTTTGTGTAATTCCTTATTATAACTGCAGGGTCAGTGATAATGTTTTCAGATCGGTTTAGTTTTAAATATTTTTAAGAACTGATATTGGAGAGCAGATAAGACTTCTGACATGATAACAAAAAGTACAGTAACAATACTGCCTCACTTGGCAGTATTGAAATCCATTCAGGTTCCCCTAGCAATACCACCAGCAGTAATAATTGTTCACCCAGCACAGAGAAAACCCACAACACCTACCATGAAATTAATAAAGCATTGAAGATAAATTTTGAGCAGCACCAAATAAAAAAACATAAGATCAGAGTGGGACAAAAATGTACACATCCAAATGCAAAATTTCATAGTTTTATGAGTTAGGCTGTGACATATTTAATTCAAAGGTTGGACTCAGTGATCTCAGAGACAACTCAGAGTCAATTTTTCAACCTAATCGATTCTGTGATTCCATGATATCCAATCACTGTCAACGTTTTAGGAAAATCAAGAATTTCAAATCTTATTCTTGTTAATAATAACACCCTTTCACTCAAATTCAGCACAGTCAAAATTAAAAGTCCACTTTAGTAACTTCTATCTGATCTAAAAGTTTCTATGAACCCTCCAAAAATTATAGTATATCTACATAATCCCAGTTTTCATATTTTTGCATAAAACAGCCACTAGAGGGGGAAATAATCCCAAACACTCAAGTACATCTAATCCTAGCTGGCAGAATTTATGCATTTGAATCTACTTTCTATCACCATGACCACAAAATCTATTTTTTTTACAAAACAAGTACTCAGCTACAATGAATCATATTTAATTATTTGTTGTTAGATTATTTTTTATTAGGCCCAGCAGATGAATCAGGAGTACCTTGCCAGGAAAAAGGTCTTTCCTTAGAAGGCTCTATTTATTTAGTAATTAACAGATCATTTTAAAATTATAATTTCTCTGTATATTTAATCTATGTGATTAAATTTTGGGACTCCAGGGTTCCTTTAAGGAACTTTAAATTCATAGTAACTTCAGCAATCTTCAACTCACTAATTCTAACAGATCACAAAATGCTGGCATGTTGTGCTCAAACACAAGTACCTGTATTAAGACAATAAAAATATATGGTACATATTCAAGCATTTAGGTAATGACACCTACAGCAAATATCAATGTATTAACCAAACAGAAAATCAATCTGTAGTAGCTATTGAGAGCATAAAGAAATTCCCAGTGATTTGTTAAGGTCATAGTGACAGTCCTGACTGCTCCACCTCCATTCAGATCAGTGTCTCTACAGCTGTTAGGAGCCCATGGAGTAGAGGTAAGGAAGACTTAAACCATGTTGTATCACAAAGCTATCCAGACCTATGGTTCTCCACAGGAGAGGAACATAATAATTATCTGCATCTATGATGTAACAAACATTGTTAAACATTGTCAAACACAACACAACTGACAAAATCTTTATCTGTGGCAGCCACGGTGACACTTGATTATGGGAAGAATTGCTTTGTATTTTGTTGTGACTTGTTAGGCAAATTTATGAGGCTGATGTGAGACAATATGTTATTATAGTTCTGAAAAGGTATTCTATCAAGTAAAACCAAGGAAGATGTGTCCCAGCACAGACCTGTACGTCCATGTAACACCTCCAGGAGTTCCCTGATCTCATTTGCCTCTCCCATCAGTCACAGAAGGGAAGGAGAGGGGAAGGCCTGCAGAGACTGATTATCTACCACAACAGCAATTATAACCAACATGAAGAAATAAAAGAATGTGTAGCTTCTTTTAGCATCCCACATGAGCAGTCAGGCAGAACCACAAACTGAGTTGTAATTTGTTTTCTGTGACATTTGCCTGGGTGATGTAAGCAGCTGAAATTGCTCTATGTTCTACCTGATTATAAACCAGTACTTTACAGAGGGATTAATATTATTAAATAATACATACATGTAGATATAAATGTGCATTATAAAAATATATTCTCTTGGGTGTACATTCATTTCTCAGAAAAGGAAAAATCAATATTGGAAATAATGATACACCAAGACAGGAGGTCTAAACAGTAATCAGAAAGAAATTATAATTGTGATATAGATCAAAAGGTCAAGAATTGGCAAATGGAAAGAGAAGGTGTAATAGTCAACCACAGAAACAGGATTTTTTCCTTGAAGGAGGTTTGTCTCACAGGGAGATAGGTAACTCATGGAACATACTTTAGAGAAGAGTAAAGGAAACCAAGCTGTTGTTGAAGTTATCAATCTGACCTCTTTTTCAAAA